ATGCCGTGATTCCTGCATCAAAGGGGTTGCTGGATTTTGCTGGGTGGCATATGCTTATCCGTAAGGGTATTGTTTTTCATGAGTTTTTGACTTGTTGCATGTTATTGATTAAAATGACATTTACAGACCTGGGCTCAGTTCCCTTTGTTGGGAACATTCATCTCTGCAATTAACCAACTCAGAAATGAAATTCAAAGGCAATTGATGGGATGATTTTTCCTATGGTAAAAGCAGGCTGTTTTCCAAGCACATCTCCTCAGTCTCACTCTTCGACCTGTAAAATCTCTCATACCAAGAGGGAATTAAGTCTTTGGTAACAGTAGATCAAATGTATTATTGTATTGTTAGAAATACAATAGAAAATAAGTAACCATAAATCTCTCATTACCTAAATTTATTTTTACTACAGCAATGGACTCATTCCAACAACCAGGAAACAGTCATGCTTTCTGACAGATGCTTGGCTTCCCGTGTGCCTGGGGACATTTTCCTGCCCCCACATGTCTTACTTATGTATGTGAAATTTCCAGTTGGCCCCAGAAGGTTAAGACAGGCCTGCTGCATGCTAACTGGTCATTTGCATGAGAACCTTCACTACCCGCCGAGCTGGTGGCTCAGTTTTGCTAGGTTTTGACTACACAAAGATTGACACTTAGAGAAGTAGTCTTTGGAAAACTCCTGCCATGTTGGTTGGACCATTCTTTTTTTTTTTTAGAGGTGTTTGCTATAGGGCATGTGCGCTTGCCACAGACACAGAGAGACATAGAGACAGAAAGCGAGAAATCACCCCTTGGGGGGAAGGCCAGCCGCAATCCCTTCTCCTCCATTCTCCTCTCGGGATCTTGGGCACGCACGCACATGCACCCGGTGTGAGTTTAAGCCACCGGGTCTGGAAGTTGAACCATGGTGGACTACATGGGAGTTCAGCGACATAACCATTATGCTAACTGCTGGTCCCGATCAGACCATTCTTATGAATGTCAAATTAACCTTATCACCTTAGAGGTTTTAACAGAAAAAGTGCTTTCAAAATAGAATGGGATAGAACATTGACTCTTGGAATGAATCTATTGGATTGTTGCACAGAAAAATATGTCATGACTTTCCTGACAACCTAATAGCATGCAGGAAGTGCTACTGTACATTTCAATCTTTGCCAAAGCTTTTTAAGTCTTCTAATATTCCTTTAGAATATTTGTCTTCTTTGACTATTTCTATTTTGAAAAAAGTTATTTAATTTTATTTATTATCATCATTTTATAATTTTATATAGGACACCTGTGCTTACCAAAGAGAGACAGAGAAAGAGAGTGAGAAAGCAAGCCACCAGGTCCAGGATTCCAACTGTGGTCAGCCATGTGGGAGTTCAGTGCCTCAACTACCACGCTACTTACTGATCTAAACTATTTCCATTTTATATAGAGGTTTTTCTTTAAACTCCCATGCTGTTTAGCTTTTCACTCTTTAAATTCTTTCATTTTTATTACTCTTTCTATAAATCATTGTTATAGTCTCATAAATACTCTCTTTTTCTTTTCTCTTCTCTTTATAATTAATACTTTCCCTATCATCCTGTTAAATTGGGCTAAGGATACTTGCAGCTCAGACCTCAGTTTCAGCTTGGATTAACGTTAATTACTGAATACAATGTTCTGTGTTTATTTTTCTTAAATCTTCTTCCTAAAATGAATGTTTGTGAATTACAGCTCTTCATGTTAAAATTCATCATTATAACTAGGTCCTATTTCACAAAACCACAAACAAAAATAAGATGAGAAGTAATTTTAAATTTTGTGGAGTTGTGATTTATTTTAAAGGATTTGTTTTCAAATCTCCTATATATTTTGCCATTTTTGTCCCAAATGGAATGTCTCTAGTCTACAGTATAGAAAACAGACTGGAGAAAGGTGAGAGAGCTGCCTAGGGACCTGGCAGAAAAGGACTGCCTTGGTCTAGTGAGGGGTGGTCACAGAGAAGAAGAGGAAGAGGACTGCACAAAAGAACAGTTTGGAGGTGCAGTTGAAGGCACCAGGCAGTTGACTGCATCTGAGGAAGCCCAGGGCTTTGGCTTGTGCAACCAAATGAACAGATAGCAGGTCCATTCTCTGCAGGGAGTAAAGGGGTGGGCATTCTTACCTAAGGAAAGCACTTTGGCTCCTTAAACTTCCAATGTGGGTATCTACCTCTGTGTTTCAGCACTTTACCAAGTCCTATGTAGGAGGGGCTGTATCTGCATATATACATTGGACTTGAATAAACTTTACAATGCTAGGACTTCCAGATAGAAGCTGTGTGTGGTTAGATCAATTAAAGTAGTCAGCTTTCTGTCTGAGCCTAAGGTGACATAACACATATGAGAAGGACTTCAGAAAGATTGTTCAAAATGGAATTAAAGTAAGAGTTTATTTTGATGCAAAATCTTTTTCTTAAAAGTCATACATAGTGGGGCCGATGGGTGGCGAGGCGGTTAAGGTGCTGGATTCCCACCTTGCTTTATCACTTTCCTTCTCTCTCCCTCTCTCTGTGTCTCTTTGATCAAATTAATAAAAAATAAATAAAATAAAATAATTATTTTAAAAAAGGTCATACATAGTTTTCTTATAATACACATTTTCATAAACTTTTGAATAATTCTTTCTATATACTGGCTCTTATAATTTTAAGGCTTCACTGAAAGTCTCACCTGTGCATTTTTAGCCCAATGTTTGGAGATATACAATCTATTCTTGTTGACTGCTGTCTGACCCTAGCTCCAGGCTGGAATTGTACTTCCTGAAGCTAGCCTGCTCTGTGCATCTAAAATCCCTCACTGAAACCTTGTTCCTCAGTCTCTCAGGTGAGATCAAATCTCCCTACACCCACTTGTTCCAATATCCTAAATTTTTCAACCCACTATTAATTTCTTTCTAGTGTGTTCTTCCTGATGGCTTATAAAAGCTCCCATACTGAAATTTCCCTTATTCTTATTTTGTCCCCTCACTTTTCTCTCATTTTTGAATCTGTCCTTCCTACTCAGTTTTATATTTAGCTTACCTATTCATCTTGCCATCCTTTTATTTTTTTAAAGAATCATTTGTTTAATTTTATTTATTTATTTTTTCAAATTTGCTATAAGGCATGTGTATTCACCACAGAGAGACAGACACACACACACAAACACACACACATACAGAGAAAGTCAGAAAGTCAGGCCTGGGACTCGAACTGCAGATGGCCATGTGGGAGTCTAGTACCTTAAAAACTATGCCACCTGCTGGTCTCATCATCCTTCTTTTCTTAGAACCTGCCAGTCACTCTCTCTGAACCACTGTGACACCAATATCCCCAAGCCTTGATCTCCAAACATATCCATAAGAGAGAATCTCAGCTCATTCAGACAAAGGTAAACAGTACAGTGCATCTATCCAAAGTAAGAAGTTATACTCTTCATTGAGAAGCCTTCAGGTTATTTAAAAAGAAACAATACTTACCTCTTCATCTGTGAGAGTCGGGTCTTCTTCCCGAGACTTGTATGACAATGAACTAAATCTCTGTCAGAACACACACAAACCACACACAAAGGAAAGCAGTTTGAATAGTTAGAATGAAATAATCCAACCTTCTATACCTGTAGAAATGTGTTCAAAGAATTTCTGTAGAACCACAAAGAAATTATGCGAAGCATGTGATAAATGCTTATGTAACTATTATTATATGATGTTCTTGGATATTTAGTAGTAGTATGTGGAGAAATTCCTTCTAATTTTAAAATTGATTCTGTAGTTACAAATAGCCTCGAATATTTATTTAGATACAATGCTAGGACTTCCAGATAGAAGCTGTGTGTGGTTAGATCAATTAAAGTAGTCAGCTTTCTGTCTGAGCCTAAGGTGACATAACACATATGAGAAGGACTTCAGAAAGATTGTTCAAAATGGAATTAAAGTAAGAGTTTATTTTGATGCAAAATCTTTTTCTTAAAAGTCATACATAGTGGGGCCGATGGGTGGCGAGGCGGTTAAGGTGCTGGATTCCCACCTTGCTTTATCACTTTCCTTCTCTCTCCCTCTCTCTGTGTCTCTTTGATCAAATTAATAAAAAATAAATAAAATAAAATAATTATTTTAAAAAAGGTCATACATAGTTTTCTTATAATACACATTTTCATAAACTTTTGAATAATTCTTTCTATATACTGGCTCTTATAATTTTAAGGCTTCACTGAAAGTCTCACCTGTGCATTTTTAGCCCAATGTTTGGAGATATACAATCTATTCTTGTTGACTGCTGTCTGACCCTAGCTCCAGGCTGGAATTGTACTTCCTGAAGCTAGCCTGCTCTGTGCATCTAAAATCCCTCACTGAAACCTTGTTCCTCAGTCTCTCAGGTGAGATCAAATCTCCCTACACCCACTTGTTCCAATATCCTAAATTTTTCAACCCACTATTAATTTCTTTCTAGTGTGTTCTTCCTGATGGCTTATAAAAGCTCCCATACTGAAATTTCCCTTATTCTTATTTTGTCCCCTCACTTTTCTCTCATTTTTGAATCTGTCCTTCCTACTCAGTTTTATATTTAGCTTACCTATTCATCTTGCCATCCTTTTATTTTTTTAAAGAATCATTTGTTTAATTTTATTTATTTATTTTTTCAAATTTGCTATAAGGCATGTGTATTCACCACAGAGAGACAGACACACACACACAAACACACACACATACAGAGAAAGTCAGAAAGTCAGGCCTGGGACTCGAACTGCAGATGGCCATGTGGGAGTCTAGTACCTTAAAAACTATGCCACCTGCTGGTCTCATCATCCTTCTTTTCTTAGAACCTGCCAGTCACTCTCTCTGAACCACTGTGACACCAATATCCCCAAGCCTTGATCTCCAAACATATCCATAAGAGAGAATCTCAGCTCATTCAGACAAAGGTAAACAGTACAGTGCATCTATCCAAAGTAAGAAGTTATACTCTTCATTGAGAAGCCTTCAGGTTATTTAAAAAGAAACAATACTTACCTCTTCATCTGTGAGAGTCGGGTCTTCTTCCCGAGACTTGTATGACAATGAACTAAATCTCTGTCAGAACACACACAAACCACACACAAAGGAAAGCAGTTTGAATAGTTAGAATGAAATAATCCAACCTTCTATACCTGTAGAAATGTGTTCAAAGAATTTCTGTAGAACCACAAAGAAATTATGCGAAGCATGTGATAAATGCTTATGTAACTATTATTATATGATGTTCTTGGATATTTAGTAGTAGTATGTGGAGAAATTCCTTCTAATTTTAAAATTGATTCTGTAGTTACAAATAGCCTCGAATATTTATTTAGATTTCTGTTCCAATCCCAAATTGTCACTGAAGAATTGATCTTCAAATGAAGATTGATCAATAAAAGATTGACATTAAAAGATCACAATGTTTATCAAATGCCAGAATTTTGTATTTCTAGAGTTTGCAGGCATATAGGAGGAGGATCCTAAATCATTTGAAAGCTTTCAAAGCTAATGGAGAAATCAACCCAGATTTATTTTGTGGCTTGCCTCTTGCCTAAGTTCTCAATGATTTTTGGCTCTTGGTTCACTGATTCTGTCTCTAACACATCTGTCTTAATTCATTGTGGTTTGAATAAATGTGTGTCCTTCCAAATCCCACTCTTCTGCCTCATGACATCTTCTTCCCCACCACCAACCTTACCGCTCACTGTCACAGCTGTATTCAGAATTTTCACTTACCCTAAACCACGGTCCATCCACCATCCCAGTTTCTCGCAGCCTCTTTCAGACCTGCGTGTGTCGTCCTACTCACTGCTCTTTAACACTGTCTAGATCTAACCGTCTTTTCAATGTCTCCCCTTCTGGGTGTTTTTCTTCTTTGCTTTACCAACCTCAAGCTCCACAGTCAGATGCTATAGTCAAACTTACGCTCCCTTATCACTGGTGAATTCAGCCTGAAGTGAGCTGATAACACTGCTCTGTATCACACCAGACTTCCCTGACACATCCAGGCCCTACTCTTCTATTTCCTCTTTTCCCCTCTTCCCAAACCTCCATCACCACCTCACCCATTCTCTCATTTGATGACCTTGCTTCCTAGTTCACTGAGAAAACTGAAGTGAGTAGAAGAAATTTCTTGGAACTGCCTTGGCCATTGCATTCCTCTATCTTCCTTCTCTGTTACCACAGATGAACATCGTCTGTGGCTCTTTAGGGCAAGCCCCTCCTACACAGTAGACCCTGACCCCTCACACCCACATGTGAATAAAGCTCAGTAGTTCTCCTATTTAGTTTATGTCTGCAACTTTTCCCTCTCTATGGGCTTATTCTCATTCACATACAAGCATGCTGTTATTGCTTGCATTCTAAAGACAAAATAAACTCCACTCCCCATTTAGCTCTATCTATTTCCTATTTCTTTATAGCAAAATATCTTAAATGAGTTGTCTAACAAGTTGCTCCAATAATTTTTCTCAGTGGCTAATGGTGGCACAGGGATGATGGTGGCACAGGGATCAAATGTGACGCTCTGCGAGGCTGCAGTTTGCATGCAGAGACCTCCCTGTCCACACTGAGTGTGCATTCGTTTCCATGATCCAGGGCAGGTGAAGCTGGGGTGGACTGTGACATCGCGACTCTGGTGGGGATGTTGTCTCTCCCATTCATGGAACAAACGCACTTACATTTTTCTCCTCCTATTTTTTTCTCAAGCCCCATTTTAGTCAAGTTTCTGCCTCTATCCCTCCAAGGACCCCGCTCTCGTCAAGGTTACCTAGACTGCCAGGCACTGAGGGCTGCCTCTTTCCAGACCTTTGCTCTGCATCTGCCACGTGGTCACTGTGTCCTGAACGCTTTCTTCTCTTGGCTTCTAGGACCCAGCACTTTCCTGTTTATCTTTCCTTCTTTGGTCTCTTCTGCTGGCTCCTTTTTCATATCTCTATTCTTAGAGCTCTTCTAGTCCCTATTTATACTCACCTACTCTGTGACCTCATCCAATCTCATGGCTTAAAAATAAAAAAAAAAGATCCCTGCTGATGACTCCCAAGTGTGCAAATCCAGCCCTGGCTTTCTTCTTACTCCCATGGATCTGTCTAACTGCTATGTGATGTCCCTCCTTAGAGGATCAATCCATGACCCAGTCTAAACATACTCAACGCTGAATGCACAGTTTTCCTTTCAAACCTTCTCTGCCTGCTGTCCACTGCACTTCAGTTCACAGTAATGCCATCCTTCCAGTGGCTCGGGGCAACCCCTGAGCTCTTCGCTGTCTCTTCTTCCTCTTACTGCACATATGATCCATCTGTAAGTCTCTTGGCTCTAGCTTGGCTACTCTCATCACTTCTGTTGCCTCTGCCCTGACCCAGCCACCTCTATCTCTCATCTGATTTATCAGAAGAAACCACTGGGTTCCTCAATTCCTCCCTTTATGACCTATTTTAAAACTAGAGTTGGAGGGACCCTTCAAACACATAGGCTGAACTGCACCATTCTACTGCTCTAATCAATAGTAATCTTACTATTGATTTTGGTTATAAGCTGGGGCCATCCAGAATTGAGCACTTAGCTTACATTCTCTTTCCTACTTTTATCTTTGCTTTTTCTTCTCCAGTCACCTTAGCAAGCCAGGCATGGTCTAGCCTCAGGGGTTTCACCCTGGCCATCTCCTCTGGTTTGTTTATTCTTCCTCCCAAAAGTGCCCAGTTCACACCCTCACTTCCTTTTTTTTTGGAGGGGGGGGGAGAGGTTTTCGCTGTAGGGCACGTGTGCTCGCCAGAAAGACAGAGAGAGACATAGAGACAGAAAGCGAGAAATCACCCCCCAGAGGGATGGTCACGCTGCAATCCCTTCTCCTCCATTCTCTTCTCGGGATCTTGGGCACGCACGCACATGTCCCTGGTGTGAGGTTTAAGCAACTGGGTCCGGGACGCGAACCATGGTCAACTACGTGGGAGTCCAGCGACATAGCCATTACGTTAACTGCTGATCTCCGACACCCTCACCTCCTTTAACTCAGTTCAAATGTCACCTTACTCGCTAGGCAGATCCTGATTACCTAAAATTGTCCTCCATCCCATTTCCCCACTTCTGTTTATTCCATTTTTTTCTTAAAGACTTTACACTTATGCCTATGTATCTGTATCTCCCCATTAGCATGTGAGCTCCACAGAGGCAGGAATTTTTGATCACGAATGTGTTTTGTTCATTGGCGTATTCCCAGCACCAAAAAGACTGTGCGTCATATAGTAGTAGGTGCTTGTTACAATCTTGTTGCAGTGAATAGTAAACATTTCAAAATCTCAACTCGCTTAAAATTAGAATTGTTTATAAGGAGTTGATGAAATAGTCACTCTTATTATGTGGCAGAAAGAGAATTTCATTCCCAGATGAGTATTTCCAGTTTTTAATGTCGAATCTGGAAAACTGTACTAGCACAGCTTAGATGACTGACTCGCTTATCTTTCAAACCCTCGTAAGTCAGATGTTCTAACTGGTTTAGGCAGCATGGACTTTTCATAGGTTTTATTATCTCTGGTTATACAAAGGGCAACACATTATTTTGCACTGTTGCATTGTAGGACCATGTTATTTAACATGTTCATAACATAATAGTGCTCTTAACAATTGATTTCATGAATAGTATGAAAAGTTGAAATGCTCTCAGAGAAGAGTACAAAGAAAGACTTCCTTGGTTGAATCTATACAACTGTAGCTGCTCTTCTGACCATGAATGCCAGAAATTTTTTTTAAGAATTGTTTGTATTTATTCATTCATTTTTAAAAAATTTTGACCAGAGAGAGACACAGAAGAGAGAGAGAGAGGAAAAGTGAGAAAGAAAGCCACCAGGTCTGGGACTCAAATGGTGGTAGACCATGTGGGAGTGTCCAACACCTTAACCACAATGCCAGCTGGTGGTCCTGAATTTTAGAAATGTTTTAAGGCTACTGTTGACAGACTAACCTCTACTTGTCTTTCCTACTAAACCTGAGTAGAAGAGAATCTTTTTTTTTTCTTTGTAGAGAAGACCTATTAGATGTTATTTGCTTGAAGTCCTAGTTAAATATCAAGGAGATCTTGACAATTGGAGATGTGAAATTCACTGGCTCAGAGACCAAGTTACAGACACACATAGAGAAGACCGTGGATTAGGAATAGCATATTTGAGTGCTTTGTTGACTATCGAAACTTAAGAGCAAATAGGTTACTGCTCAGAAATTGTCACAAAATAAGTTCGCTTGTTGAGTTATACAAATGTTTACATGATCAGATATAACCAGTGGCTTCTGTGAGTTGCTCCTAGCTGTGTGTGTTGCTGTTCTTGGATTTTGGAAACCCCACAAGGGGAAGATCACCACACTGCTTGAGGCAGCAACAAGCAGAAGAGGTAAAATGTATGGCAAAGATACATTTTGTCTGTTTAATTCTTGGTCTTCAAAATAAGGAAAATAATGGCCCTAATTAGACATGATGCAAATATTGGAAAATATCCAATAAGGTGCTGAGAGAGAAATATTTCATCAACATGAGTTTTGAGTATTTTATTACTTGGGGGCAAAAAGCCAAACAAAGCTTACAGCGAAACAGCATTCATCATTGCACCAACTTGAAAGTGTTTGAATATATTTTCCAAAACAATGTGCAAGTGGAAACCCTAGGGCTCACTGATTCCTAGTTCTGACAAAAGGTCCAGAAACAAAAATGCCGAACTTACCTTATTGGCTTCACTGGTCCCTGCTGGGGCTTGCTCTTCCCCTGCCCCTCTCTCTTCCTTCTGAAGGTTTTCATTCTCATCCAGAAGTTTAACGGGGACAGGAGGTGGGGCTTCCTCTTCCAGATCACATGAATTTCCAAGGATGCTCTCCACGTTCACACTTTGGCGACACTTTTTGTTTCTGTCCACAGAGGCATATTCAGCAAACTCTGCTTTGCCCTCAGTTTGCGGCCCTGGGAGTTCTGTCAAGGTGGACATAGACTTTGACTTGCTGCTGTGGCCTCTGTCCAGCTGTGTGGCTGCAGCCAGCTCCTTGATTTCCTTCACAGTTTCATACAAGCAGTCCTCCACCATGTTTTCTTGGGAAGAACTGTCCTTGAGCACTTCATACGGCCCCTCCATGCCGGGCCCCTGGTCTCCATCCACGCTTCTCCCATTGAGCATGGTGTCCACGGTGCTCTCAGGTGGGATTCTGGGCAGCTCCCGGCTCTGATGGCATTTTGGCTTCCCGGAGCTATCCTGGGAGTCCAGCAGGTCCGAGGCCGAAGTCAAGACTTCCTCATAGTGCTGCATGCAGGTCATGGTACTGTCTTCTGAAAGAACTGAAGCAGTCCACGTTTTAAAAGTGGAGAAAGAATTCTTTAACATCGCAGTGAGTCAGATCATATAAAGTTAAAGCAAAACTCTAGGTCTTTTCTTAACTCTCAGCTACATATTATAGGTGCTATGACTGTGTGTGTGTGTGGGAGGTGTACGTATGTATGTATGTATGTATACATATATATACACACACATATATACACATATATATACATGCATATACATAGAGAAAGAGGAAGGTGAGAAAGCACCCCAATGGGGGATAGTCACGTCATGATCTCCTTTCAGGATTCTGGACGTGTACATATGCACCTGGCATGTTTTCAAACCACTGGATTCAGTTGAACTGTCCAGTCACCATGTGGGATCCAGCCTCCTTCACACCACCACACCAGTGGCTGACCTAATATTCTTACTTCAACTACAGTTTATCTATCTTATAATGTTAATATTATGAATAATAGTAATCTGCTAGGTTACAGCAGGAAGTAAGTACTTATAGAAAGAACCCTTAGAGTGATGCCAGGCACAGAAGCAAATTAATAAGTGGTACATATTATCCAAACGAGCTTTTTCTTTTTTTTTTTTTTACTAAAACTAGTGTTAGTGCTGAAAATGGGCAAGAACACAGAACACATTTCCTCCTTTTGGGGCTATGTCTTTGAAGCCTAGCACTTCGGTAGGTGGTGAGGCTGCAGGGGAAGCCGGAGTTCTGCAGAACTTACTGTCGCCGTTGGTGAGGGCTCCATTCTGCTCGCTGCTGGCAGGTGCGTCTGTTGCCAGGCTAGTTATCGAGCGGCTGAACATCTCCTTGTCTGAAGGCTGCAAAAAAATCCCAAATGCTCACATGGTTAGGAATCTAGACAGCATAGCAGAGGAGAATATTCATAGCTTTTTAAAAAAAATCTTAAAATTGCAAGAACAACAACCACGAAAAAAAAAAAGAAAAAACCCAGGAGGCCATCACTTCGATTTAAATTAAGTGAAAGAAAAAATGGAATTTCTCAATTGACGAGTCACATTGCAAGGGCTTAGCCATCACGTGTGGTCAGTGGGTATCACATCAGTTAGTGTAGACATGGAGCACTGCCATCCTTGCAGGAAGTTTGGCCAGTGCTGTTCTAGAATCTTAGGACACTGGAGTCTTCTGGGTCATCTGTGGAGCTTCCTGCTTGGCAAGCTACCAACGGGGTAAGGTCGGTTGTGAGATATCAATTCCCTTAGCTCAAGACAAGGAGGGGACCAGAAGGCAGAGGGGACCGGAAGTCAGCGAAGACTGACTCCAGAAAGAGGCAGCCTCATTCTCGTCACACAGCTGGTACAAAATGTTATTCGTAAAGGTGCGTCAGACCATGAAACAGGGGAAAGCATCGCCCTTTGTCATCTGAAGGGAATAGATGTAAATCTGGTCAGAGGTAGACAGTACCATTGATTGCTGAGACGATTTCAGAAGCAGCCAAATCTCTGATTTCAAGGTTCACAAGACAATGATATGCTAGACAGTAGCTTCGTAAGTCTTACTCTCACAAATGGAGGACGCCTGAGGTGAAGAATGACATTGACTGCTTTCCACGGGGCTAAAACGTGTAACTATGACCAATGAATGTGTAACAATACACCAGGCTGAGCTATCACTAAGATAAGCCAGCAAATTAGTAGTTTATGTATTTCTTTAAGACCTGTGTCTCTGTCAAAAGGAATTCTTCTCATTCTATTTATGGCCTGCATGAGCCCAGAGGTTACCGGATGCTCCAGGACTCCACATGAGAAGTTCTGATGAAAAAATAGTGTAGGAACCCTGGCTATCCTATATGTAATTTGCAAGAGGGAGCATCAACTCACCAGAGAAAGAGGAAGATGAGAAAGCACCCCAATGGGGGATAGTCATGCCATGATCTCCTTTCAGGATTTTGACCTTTCGACCTTACCCCATTGGTAGCTTGCCAAGCAGGAAGCTCCACAGATGATCCAGGAAGACTCCAGCACCCTAAGATTCTAGAAAAGCACTGGCTAACCCTGGTCTCACAAATTCTGACTCCTGATGGGAGTCTAATAAGCAAACGAGACAGCAAATAGCCCATGCTGGGTCATGATGCAGAAGTTGGTTGGGAGTCAACTGTTTCAAGTTCATGGAGCTCACATCTGATGAACCCTACGAGATGGGGACGTACAAGTGTGTTAATGCCCCAGAAATGGTGTTATAACTGGGCAGGAACCTGGGGGTTATGATAGCTCCCAGGTGGGTCCATAACTCCATAATCCATTACAGCCGAAGTCACCATAATCTAGGTTCTAACCGTCAAGTCTAATCTCAGCTTCTATGAGGCGGAGATTAAGGAACTGAGAAACTTTCAAAGGAAGTTGAGTGTCCAAGCATGTGTATGTGTGCACACGCACAGGTAGTACTGCATGTGTAGGCACGCATGTTCTCTCTTTCTCTCTATGTACACTGAGGTAAGTGAGGCATGAAGGTAGTAATTAAGGTATGGTGTGTGAGAAAGAAAATAAGCAGGCCTGGCTTTTTCCATTTATGCACCTGCCACATTCGTCCTGGCTCACCAAGAGCTGCTGTTGACTTTGAGCGGAATGGCAGAATGAAAGGGTTAGAGCAGTGGTTCTCACCCTTGAGTGCACATCGGAATCACCTGGAGGGTGTTAACCATTCACTGGGCCCTACCCCAGGATGTTGCTGCTGGCATGGCCTGGGCTGCACTGAGAACCATGGCACCAGAAGGGAGTGAGGGGCGGAGGTCTTGGCCCCAGCTCCACCTCACAGCCCCACTGGCCTGGAGGAGGGAGGTGGGAAGAGGGAAGATGAGGACCTGGGATCTGTGTACAGGAGACCCAGCAAGGGAGGCTCTGCCCATCCTCCCACCTTCTCGAAGGCCACACAGCACAGGACAGTGGAGAAATGGAAAGACATGGGCAACCAGAGGGGAATGAGGTGAGAATGGGGTTCAGGGAGGAGAGGTGCTGAGGGCTCAGGAGACCTGTGGGTGGGTAAAGTGAGTGTGTGCATGAAGAAAAGAAGGGAAGGGCAGCCCTAGGGCCCCAAGAGGAAAGGGGAGTCTCGAAGAGGTCCTGCCTGGTCGGGTACAGAAGGTCCTGTGAATTCACAGGTCAGGCGATCTCCTCTGGAGATGCCTCCTGGGTGAACTCTGACTGTGTCTGCTGGCTGCATGTCACACCCATCCTCGCTCTATACTCATGACTCATCC